CCTGGCATCCTGTGCTTAATTGTCCACACACCTTCCGGAGTGCAATGGACTAACCACTCCTGGGGGTGCAAAGGCTGTGTGGATATTAGGTATCTGGGGGGAGGCGCCACACTCCAAAGCGGCCAATGCTTGAGTGATAATGCCCTTGTCCTTTTTGTACGTGCTCGCAAACGGCAGACCAACCACAGACAAAACACGCATCCTCCAAGGCAGCATGCCAAAATATACCCACTCCCACCCATTCTTTAAACAGAGAAAAGGTAGAAGCGATCCAGGAGGACAGTCCCTCTGCCATGCTGAGGTCCACTCTTGTGGAGTTGATGTTCACCACCGCCACTCTGTTTCTCCAAGGTCTCTTCAAATTCTCCGGACCAATTTCCTATAAGATAACTGGACAGTTGTTTAGACAAATTCGCTGCTTGGGAACCATTTTGGAATTGTACACTAGTGACACACAAACCAGGCATTCTCCACTCACAGCCCAATTGGGCCAGCTGCCAAAGGATGTCAACTTGTTCTTGTACCAAGTCAATGCACTGGTTAAGCACCACAAGGCCACCTTTCAACTGTGCATTTAGAGAAGTAGAGGTATGAAGGATGGTTTGGAGCCATTAACTCCTTCCACCTGAAGAGGCTGAAATGGCCAAGCCTGCATCTCTGGACAACTCCTTCCACCTGAAGAGGCTGAAATGGCCAAGCCTGCATCTCTGGAGACAGGGACCAGCTGCAGCAGTTTGAACCTCCACTGCAAAGGTGATGCCTAGCACCTGGCCCCCAGCCAGCACAAGGATTCCCCATAACCTCTCCGAGAATGATTAGAATAACAAGTAATGTGTGAACACCATAATTCCCTCCTTGGAGCATAATTAAAGGAGCTACATCAGAGCAGCTAGCATCCATTTGTGCAGCTCGTGTGGTTGTGAGGACTGCTGCCGCTAGGCCAGCATTACTTAACGGTCCCCCAATTTCCTGACAGGCTTTTAGCCAATCTTCTAATCCCTTTCCTTTCCACGGGGTAATAGCTCTATGACATTCTTTTGTGCTTTGCTCATATACTAATTGTTGAACCAGAGGCATAGCTGTTTCTACGTCACCAAATATCTTTCCTGCCGCCTCCATCATTCTAGCTACGAAATCTGAAAAAGGTTCGTTCGGGCCCTAAATGATCTTAGTCAAATTCCCTGATACTTCTCCTTTACTTGGCAATGATCTCCAAGCCCCAGAATAAATCCCATTCATCCGTTGATAAACTTCAATAGGATATGCCGTCCGATTCACGGTCCATTGTCCCCGACCCAATAGCATGTCAGCCGTCCACTGTGGTCGACCACCCTGAAGATCAACTCTAGCCTGTACCTGGGCTCCATCTGTAACCATAGATTTGAAATCCAGATACTGCCCTGTAGTTAAACATGCTCTGGCTATTTCGAACCAATCTGTTGGAGTCATAGCCTGAGTAGTGAGCCTAGTCAATAATGTTAAGGTATAACTGGCTGTTACTCCGTAGGCTCGAGCAGCCTCTACCAGGTCTTTTAATTGTTTGTAAGGCACAGGTTCATGATATTTGTTGTTTGCGGATCTTCAAAGACTGGAAACGCGGACGCTAGCCACGCCCAGGTGTCTCTCCTGATAAAATGACAACCTCCACCTGTTTGCGGATACGAAGGTGTTGCCGGGGGGTGGATGTGGTCCCGAAGGCGCCATTGGTTCCACATTCACTCCAGCAGAAACATTATAAGGAGGAGGCCGCCACCGCCACCCATATTTCTCTTCCTCATATTCAGCGGTGGCTTTCTCTAAATTTTCCTCCTCATTTGAATCTAATTCATTATCAGAGAAATCAAGTTTTGCAAATTCCTCTAATACTAGATACAAAGGGTTCCCTTTCTTCTCTGAATTTTTTTCCTTTTCTGGCTTATTTTCTTTAATTTCCTTTTCTTTATTCTTTTCTTTATTCTTTTTAGGCCTACTTAAGTTCTCCCCTTTAAAGTCTGATTCTGATAGACTATCCTGGTGCTTAATTAATGCCTTGCGTCCCTTTCTAATGATTTCCACATTGCGTTCTTCCTTAAGACATGCATGTACCATAAGAATGAACACAAGAGCAAACACAAACGGATTAATCCCAGCAATCAGCATACCTGGCGAACTTACCGACGTCACCGTTCCTGGGGAACTTACCGACGTCACCGCTCGGTGTGTTGAGTTCTGAATCCTTTTCGACCCCTCACCTGGTGTCCGAAGTTTCCTTCCCGGGTTTCGGCACCAGTTGCGGCGTGCTCCTCGGCCAGCGAGGAAGAATGACCACCATGCGAGGATCCTTCTCAGATCACACTTTATTGGAGCGCCTCTTGATTAAGGGAGAGTGGGAGGTGAGGGGCCCCAAGGACTAAACTGCAGCTGCTTATAAAGGGAATCAGGCAAACGTGCCGTACTGTGATTGGGTCCCGCCAGAATGCTAGCACGGGGAGCCACGGGATAGGCTGAGGACATAAGGCCAATTACCATACTTGTGCATCATAGCCAAATATGGAGTTGTTTACAGCTAGGCTACCAGGAAGCCAGCGCCATCTTTGAATAGCGGCTCCCTACATATATGCACATTTGCACATATGTGGATCTCAAAAACAAAACTCAAATTTAAGTCAAAGTAGCTTGAAAGTTACTTACAGGCATTCCTATCAGAGGTACTAACTGATAGATAATATCATTCACCGTCTCAGGTCTGTTGTTACATATAAAGGCTATAAAAAGTGCAGAGACTTGGGTTTTCACATTACCTTGTCCATTCAAGTAAGCTTAAAAATATATTTTATATTTTCCCACTTTTCTTTTCTTTTTTCTTAAATAAACCATGGATCATAAATGACAATCTTTCACCAAAATGTATAATATATTTCTTTGGTGTGCTTTGAACTCTTCCAGAAAAAGAAAAAGATCTTCAAAAATAAATTAATTAAAAAACTGTACAAATAAAAGTATTCATAGACACTTATTAACAATGACAAGACTACATCAACCACTCACAGCACACAAAACAGATTTCTACAAATCCTGGGGCGGGGGGTGTCTTCAAGGTCTCTGAGGATAAATTAGTGCTCTTTAGTATATGTGTGATGTTTCTGCTGGACTACAGTTTGCACAGGAGATGTGTTGTACCAACTGAACATAAACTGACCAAGAGTTATTGTCCTTGGTCCTTGACCTTTTGTGTCCTGGCTTGACAGCCCTGGCAAACCCAAGACTCTTCCTGCATGTCTTTCTGCCTTGTGTTGATGAGATTATAGTTTATAGATATAAACTATACAATGTTTAGTTATACTAGTACAATGCATGGTGCTGTTACATGGACACCTTTCAATGTTGTCTTCAGATTGTTACAGTAAATAGGACACATGCAGACCCTCCTTTACAAAGAGAAAGACCTACAACTTGAATATAAAATAATTCTACATTTTAAAAAGTTTATTTGATTTTTTTCCTGTTATTTACTTTCAAGGTCCTTTCAAATAGAAATGATAACGTATGAACTTGGGTGGGATAACTTATGTACTGTAAATTAGTTAGGACAAAATATTCCTGATGTACAAGCTGTTTTATTTATACAACTTTTTCAATGGTAGTTTGCACTATCCTTTATCATGTTACAGGTTTATTTATTATGAAACAAAGGAATATGTATTTTATGTATTTTGCCATGCATAGGTTAACTCTGCCACAGATTTATTGGTTCCTGATGCACCGAAAATAAAACCTTAAAGTATGTACCTCCACTAGAGAGAAAGCGAGACTGATGATGGAATGACAAATGTAATAAAGGTATTCTTCCTAAAAAAAAAAAGTGCAGAGAAAATGCTATAAAATAACCTGAAAGCACATAATTACAGAATTAGTTATTGTCTAATCTTCACTTACAATCTATGGACTATAATGACAACTGTAATGTAGAATAAATATCTTGTTTTCTTCCCTTTATATACCATAACCCTAGAAGACTGTTAGTCTAGCATATTTATCTTCAATTTAAGTACTTTGGTACTGGGTACTCAAACACAGAAGGTCACTGGCTGTGTGTGATAAAGGGAGACTCCATGGAGCCATGGGTGCTGGAGCTCAGCATTCTGAATTTTCTTTCCTTATGGGGAGTTAAACAGAGGGCTGAAGCCTTTCCTTCCACCCCAGGTCTAGGGAAATCAGGATAAGAACTGGCTGCATTTTTTCTTTTTTGTTTTTGTGGAAATACCAATATGGATGAGCACTTTCTCCATATCAGGCTTTGCAAATAGATGATACTCAGTGTAGAAATCTGTTGAGTTGGTAGATCTAGGAATCCAAAAATGAAGATTATAGAAATGAAACCTCATCTCTTAATGCTCTTAAAAACAAACAAGCTTGTAGACAAAATTCTAAACAGTCTTAGTAAATAAGAAACACAGAGCCAAATACAGAGGTAAATAGCCAAAAAGATCAGCGAGTCACAACTACCTTATCTTACCACCTTGCCATTGCTTCCCCAGAGGAGAGAGTTTCTTCCTGCCTAACTTGTGTTTTTATTGCCTTTCTGTTCTGCCTTCTTACTGGCTCTAAACCCAACCACCTGACTTCTTTGTCACTGCCTGTCTATACAGACCTCCAGGTCTCTATGGTTGGTACTGGGATTAAAGGCATGTGTCACCACGCTTGGCTGTGTCCTTGACTACACAGAGACTCTGCTTGCCTTGTGATCGGGATTAAGGGTGTGGGCCACCACCTGCCTGACTGCTGTTCCTGGCTCACTATGATCTCTGATCTCCAGGAAATTTTTATTTCTCAACATACAAATAAAATCACATTTCAGCACAAATAAAATATCACCATACAAGCTACTTATTCTATTACCTCTTTACTACCTCTCACATTTAGAATCTGCTCCAGAAATCTAGGAAGGCAGTATGTAGGAAATAGCATGAAACCAGTTGATAGGAATGTGAGTTGGTGCCACTGAAATATCAGAAATCTAATATGTCATCATAGAATATGACAATGAGTGGGTAGGTATAGTTTTATGCACATGGTTTCTATAATATCAGATGTACCTGCAATAAGGGCTGTAAGACTCTAGGAAACTGTCCTTTAAAGGAAAGAAACAGCATGAGTGCTCTCTCCCTGTCCTTAACAACATCATTGAAGCAAGGTAAAAGGAAACCACTCCATAAGCCACCTCTTTCGAGACAATTTTATTTATTATCCTTTAACTGCTAGGCATAACTGACTAACTTGAAAATAAGTGTACACACAGCGCTAAAGATTGATGCCAGACCCTACCACAACATGCCAGGTTAACTGAATTTTATGAACAAGGACATCTTACACCCACTGATTTCACATCTTACTTACCATAGGCTAAGAATTATGGAAAAGCATCTCAAAATCTGAAAACAGGGCTCTGATCTTGTGGTACTAATGTAACTAGGAAGGAGCCAATGTGTTTTTGCTCAGAATGTGGAGTCAATCATCTCTGGCCAGAAAGAAAGAACAGGGCTTACAAAGCATCCATGATGGAAGGAACTAGACAACCAGCTCCTGCAAGATTTCTTAACTCAACATAGGTACTTTAACACACATACATGCACACACTAGACCACCACACATACATACATACATACATACACACACACACACACACACACACACACACGTGTGTGTGTGTGTGTGTGTGTGTGTGTGTATGTGTGTATATAATATAATATATATATATATATATATATATATATATAAAGAGAGAGAGGGAGGGAGGGAGGGTAAAGGGTAATACCTTTAACAATAAGAAAAGCTTCTGATATTTTGTTGAATGTGTAAAAACTTTTCTCTCTAATTTTAAAATAGTGAAGTATATTTTACAGAAAAAAATGTGATAGGCTAATAGTGTTTTAATTCACATGACTGTAAGATATTGTATTTTCAAAGCATTTGAAACATTTTAAGATCTAAATAATGAGCAGGCGGTAGTGGCACACTCCTTTGATCCCAGCACTCAGGAGGCAGAGCCAGGCTGATTTCTATGAATTCGAGGCCAGCCTAGGCTACAGAGTGAGTTCCAGGAAAGGCACAAAGCTACACAGAGAAACCCTGTCTCAAAAACAAACAAACAAATAAACAAACAAAAAAGATTTAAGGGGCTGGAGAGATGGCTCAGAGGTTAAGAGCACTGACTGCTCTTCCAGAGGTCCTGAGTTCAATTCCCAGCAACCAGATGGTGGCTCACAACCATCTGTAATGAGATCTGATGCCCTCTTCTGGCCTGCAGGCATACATGCAGACAGAACACTGTATACATAATAAATAAATCTTTAAAAAAAAAAAAAGATTTAAATAATGATTGCAGGGATGTGTACATTCCTTCCTAATGATGATTTTGTTCATAAAACAGAAACATTTCATGAGACAGAGTCTATATAAAAAATATTTCTGAAAATAAGGTTTATTGGAGAATTAAAAATGAAAATATAACATAATTTTGCTGTATATGTTAAAATATGACTTGACACATAAAGAACCATGGATATGTAAATAATTCTCAAGAGTGAAGACCAACCTCCCAGTAGCTCACACGTCGAAACTATGAGGAATAGTAAGTTTTTATAATTATGTTTAATGATACACAGGAATTATGTTTAATGTTCAAGATAACTATAGCCTCAGGTAGAAATAGAAAGTATAATAATATTGAAATTACACATTAAGAAAACTAAATACAAAACAGTGATCAGGTTAAAATTTTGATTGATATCACTAACAAGGTATAAATTTCAAAACATATTCTTTAAAATCATATAGTCATGCAGTGAAATGCTTTCTTCCAGTCATAGAATAGCCATTGACTCATGAGGACAGCACAGTTAATTACTATCTGCACAAGATTAAGTTTAAAAAGTCAATATTTTCTACATGTGTAATTAAAGTCAATAGGACAGTGAGAGAAAGAAGAGAGATTTGGGGAGTATCCTGGGAGTGGTGTAGGTAAGTTGGCAGTGGATTTGTATTCTTGTATGAAATTATGAAAGATAATTTCAGAAATCATCTGTCTCTATGTGTTTAAAATTATAAACAGTTTGAGGGATCTATGTTCAATCTTAAGAATTTAAATGATAAAATTGTAGCATGAATCTTAAAAGTTCTTATTAATAAAATCAAACTTGAGGCCAGTTATTGGGGTGAATGCTAGACGGTCAGAGAGACAGA